GAAAGAAAGAAAGAAAGAAAGAAAGAAAGAAAGAAAGAAAGAAAGAACTTTGGTCTATACTTCTTTCTAAATGTTATTCAATTCTGGTGGTTTTCAGCGATGTAATAAAAAGAACACTAGATTTTCATTCAGATTACCTGGATTCAAATCTAGTAAGTGTCAAAGGTGGGACTCCTGACTCCAAGTGCAGCACTCTATTCACTATACTACACAACCTCTGAGTTGTAACACAATGGATGGTGTGATTTTTGTTGTTGATGTTGAGTAGTTTCAGTCATGTCCAACTCTTTATGACCCCATTTGGGGTTTTCTTGGCAAAAATACTGGAGTTGTTTGCCATTTCCTTCTTCAGCACATTTTACAGATGAGGAAACTGAGGCAATACGGGTTAAGTGATTTGCCCAAGGTCACACAGCTAATAAATGTCTGAGGCCAGATTTGAATTCAGGTGTTCCTGACTCCAGGCCTGGCACTCTATATATTGTGCCACTTATCTGCCTGATGGCTCGACCTGCTAATCCAGCAATCCCTGGTAGATCTGAGGTATGTAGAAAGACCAGATCTAAGAAAAAAATACCTAATGTCCCTGGAGAGAATTTTTGCAGTATGTGTGTACCTGAATTTATGCAAAGTAGAACTTCAGAAAATGACACTTACATTCACCTGATCTGACAAAAGCATCCTGTTGAAGTATAACAAGAAATTCTGTCTTTATATTCCCTTTAGCTTTTTGCCAACCAAGGTGGCATTGGTTCTATGTGAATACTTGAAAATCTTTGAGGTAATGAATTGCTTCACAGGACGAGTAAAGAAGGATTGAAAACCAAACTCTAAGGAAGATGTCACTTAGAAATCCAAATCCAGCACTGCCAAATATTTGTTATTTCAGTGAAGAAATGACTAATGCTATTTGACACAATTTCTGAATACCAGTAAAATATATATCTTACTATCTAGGCTATATTTAGCTTTACCTAATTAGTCTACTACCTACCTAGCCTGAAATGTATATGTATATATGTATATATGTGTGTATATATATATATATATATATATATAATATGGGGGGTTTTTTCCTATTCTAGGAATGGTTAGATATTTTACTTTTCAAAAATCTAAGCCCAATCTTGACATGCCATTTGCACTGTCTTTGGGTGGGCAGGGGAAGAGGGAGGATATTAGTTAGACATCCTATTCTTAGTGATTCTTTCCCTTATCCAAATCTTTGGGTGACTTGAAGAAAGATTCCATGTGAACCAAGCAGCTTCTGGCTATAGTGGGAAAACTAAAGGTTGTAGGATTGGCTAAGGTCCAGGATGTATTTACATAGGTGTCACCATACCTACTCCCCTAACCATTTTCCCTTTTTCAGCTTACTTACCTTTTGAATAGAGAAAGTTAGTCTCTCATCCTCTCCTCCCAGAGCAGTAGCACCAGGATACCATCTATCTGCTCATCAGAAAATCACCTTACCTAATCACCTGAGGTACAGCTGAGTTTCAGATACATTCAACCACACAATTCTAGCTACTTCACATTATGTACATTTGCATAATCTTAGAAAGTTCCCTTAGGTAAACACCTCTATTTTTCCAGAAAAGGGATCAGAAAGAGTTACTGCCCTCCACTCCAGAAATGAACCTCATGGAATAAGATTCAAGCTTTTCCATAGGGCAGTTTCAGAAAACCAATATTGCTTTAGTTTCTTTACTGTTCTAAAATAATCCTGGAGTTAATCTGTCATATTTATAATGTTTGATCTACTAGATCAATCTAGTATTTGCAAATTAGCATTTAATTTTTTTCCAGAGAATAGAAAATTTGTATATCCTCATAATCTCCAATAGTGTTATGCTGTTCAGTTGATTGTATTTTTACAACTTAATCATCAGTTGGCAAGGTACTTTTCTCCTTTGAAATTAACTATGAAAGCAAGACTAAAAATTGTGCCTGTATTTGAAACTGCTCTCCAAATTTCCAAACTTCTTTACCATGAGGAAATCTTTACAAGTCAGCTATTTGTTGGTGGTACCTGCAAGACAACTGTGGAAAACCTGTTTTAAGTTCTTTTCATCCCTTCCCCCCCAACCCCAACTTTTTTTTGTGAGAAGGAATGAGAAATGTCCTAAAGGACCCTTAGTAAGATGACAAGATGAAAATATTTGAAAATCAATGGTCCTCCATCAGTGCTATGGGAGTCCTTGGGTAGGTAGGAACTTAATTGCTCCCTGATTATGGTTTGTAAAGCCTTAGCTTTTTGCAACTTGCACAATAAACCTATATCTTCATGTATTTGTATTTCTTCTCTGCTATACCATCTCCTTTTTGTTGTCCATTGTATGTATTGGGATCTCGATTAATAACTGTTGAGAATCTGGGAAAATAAAGGTAATATACATCACAAAACAGGGAAGTGTCTCCTTTGTGCCAAAACATAAAAAGAGCATTTTATTTCTTAGGAAAAGCCCTGCATTCAGTCAGTCACTCAAGAAGCATTTCCTAAGTGCTTCACTTTTGCCAAGTACTAAGCTAGATGCTAGAGAGACATTGTGGTTTTTAGTTATATCTGACTCTTTGTGACCCCATTTGGGGTTTTCTTGGCAAAGATACCAGAGTGGTTTGCCATTTCCTTCTCCAGCTCATTTTATAGATGAGGAAGTGAGGCATACAGGGTGAAATGACTTGCCCAGGATCACACAGCTAATAAGTATCTGAGGCTGGATTTGAACTCAGGAAGATTAGTCTTCCAAACTCCAGGGCCAGCATTCTATCTACTGTGCCATCTAGCTGCCCAGAGATAACAACTTTATATTGAACAACAACAACAAAAAACAATCAGTCTCTGTTTCAAAAGAAAAAAATGGGGTTGGGGGGATGACTAATATTCCAATTTCTTCAGTTGCAAAGTTAATTAAGAACAAAGCATAATATCACTCCTATATTATAGTCATTTATTCTGCTACTCTTAGGACCTATTTATTTAGTTAAGGAATGAAGGCAGAAACTAAGAAAACAGAATATAACAAAAGACTAGGGAACATAGGAGACATCCACTACATCACAGCACAGCTTACAACAATTATTTGTAATTGGAATTGCTGCAACAAAGTCACACAATTCAATTGCAGTTTCACAGTGCCCATAAAATTGTCTAAACAAATTCAGATCCTATTTTAAAAGCTCATATTCAAAAGTGAAAGACCACATGTCAAATAGAAAGATTGACCAAATCATAAATATTGAGGTAATTTAGTGCCACTGGCTATCAAATGGACTTGGCTTGTGTTTTTCATTTTCCATCCATGGGACTCATTCAAAATGCGGAATGAGTTGGGACAACACTTACACATACACACACACACACACACATACACATACACAAACACCACTGATCCCTGAAGGGAATAAGTCAATGGGACTCAACAGCAGAACTCTGTACCTAAGGAATGCCCCATCTGCTCCCTATGTATGTATCATCAATAGACATTGTCCTTTCCTTCCAGGACCACATAATCTAATGGTGACAAAAACAGCAAGATAATTTCTTCCTGGATGTGGTATTTTTGATTGTAGGTAAGAAATTGGAGAGAACACTTGATATGACCTAGTGGTTTTGTTTTTTTAACTTTTTCCATGTCAAAGACAGGCCCAAGAAACACATGGAAAATTTGTCAGCAATCAGCTTTTCATTTCCCCAGGGGTCTAGTACCAGCATGCTCCCTGGTACTGAGAGGAACTCATTCTGAAAATTGGAGGGAGTGTGGATGGACAGAAGTTGCAGAGAGTTAGAGCCTGAGAGAATGAAGACCATGGATCAGAGGGACAGAAGGGCAGAGAATGAGAAGGGAGAGCAACAAGCTCCTTGAAAATGCTAATTTCCTTCCGTACAGATAAACCTGGGCAGACCAAGTAGGCAGGTAGTTTGTTAAGTCTTTTCCAACATTTTCTTGACATTTCCAGCCAAGAAATAGGAAAAGATTTCCCTAGGTGAGCTAATACAGTCCAATCATTAGAGAAGGGAAGTGGATGGGTTTTTGTTCCTAACCTTGCACTCTTAAATAAATAAATAAATAAATAAATGGTCGTCTCAAAAAAAAAAAATTAGTGGAGGGGCAGGGAGGAGGAGAGAGTCATGACAGAGTATGGAAGACAATTTAGCCTTATTTCTTGGTTCATAAATGGCTGCCATCCTAGGTAAAATAAATGATCCTTCCAGCCTAGTATTGTTTCTGACAGTGATCTGGAGGAATCTTTTGTGGGGTATTATGATCCATCATGGACAGCTACATGGTACAGTGGATAGAGCACCAGACCTGGAGTCAGAAAGACTCATCTTCCTGAGTTCAATCCAGCCTCAGACACTTACTAGCTGTGTGACCCTGGGCAAGTTATTTAACCCTGTTTGCCTCAGTTTCCTCATCTCTGAAATGAGCTGGAAAAGGAAAAGGCAAACCACTCCAGTATCTGTGCCAAGAAAACCCCAAATGGGGTCACAGAGAGTTAGACACAACTGAAATGACAACATCAACAATTCATCATGATTCATCTTTAACAGTTATTGGCTAATCTATGCAAGGCACTGTGCCAGTTATTAGACCAAAGGTTCTTACTGATAATATCTAACTGGATTTGTGATCTTGCTGTGAGTATTCTCTGGAGGGAAGCAGTTCCTATCTAGCAGATCCTCTAATGGCCGGTAGAGTGGATAGGGCACTGGACTTGTCAGGAAGACCTGGGTTCAAATCCCACCTTAGACAATATATTTGTCACCCTCGTTAAGTCACTGAACTTCTCCATACCTCAGTTTGCCCACCAGTAAAATTAAGGGGTTGGTCTCTAAGGTCCCTTCCAGCTCTATATCTGTGATCCCGTGATTTAAATCTTCATTGGGTCTATTATTTTTTTTCAGCCTGTACAATATCTTGGGGCAGTACTTTCAATATATTTACTTTAAGCAATGTTAATGTCACAAAATTACTTGCCCTTCCAATACTTTCAGATTGAAGTAACAAATAGCTCTTTAGCATATGCTTGAAAAACTACACGCACTTTGAGTCCCACATTTTAAGAGGGATATTAATCAATTGAAGAACAACCAATGAATGATGACAAGATGTTGAGGGATCTGAAGAAAAAAATTTCATATGGGGAATATTTGAAGGAACTTAGTATGTTGAACCCAGAGAAGAGAAGACTTAGAAGGCAAAGGTTGTTATTTAAAAAAAGCCTGGACTCTGGGCAGCTCCAGAGCACAGAATGAGAACTAATGGGTGGAGATTGTAGGAGGCAGATGGCAGATTCTACATAAAGAATTTTCTTAAAAAAAAAAAAAAAGGAGTAGCCTGTTTTCTAAGATACTAAGTTCTCCATAACTGGAGGTACATGAATGGAGGCCAGATGTACTTAGATTTTTGTAGGCAGAGTGCCTGCATCAGATTGAATTATACTTTACGGTTTAATATTCAAGAGTTTTGTTTTCCTAGTGTCCTTTGCTTTATTACCCGTGTCCTACCCCCATAACTGTGGTATCCCCAAAAATTAAATCCTGGGTCTTTCTATATGCCCTCTCTTTTGGCAATTTCATCAACTACCAAGGACTTAAGAGGACACAAGTATTTATTCAGCATCTACAATGTGCCAGGCACTGTGCTAAGCTTCTTATAAATATCTTATTTGATCTTCTCAACAACCTTGGGAAGTAGATGCTATTATTATCCCCATTTTACAGTTGAGAAAACAGGCTGGCAGACATTAAGTGACTTGCCCAGGGTCATACAGTCCTACATCACCAACCAGAAACCAACTGGACATGCCCAAATGGACGCTCCATAGATTTCAAACACATTATATACAAAATGGAATTTATTATTCCCTCTCCAAAACTCCTTTTCCAAATTTCGTTATGTCTATTGAGGCCACCATCTTCCTAGTCACCCATCAATCAATCAATAAGCACTGATTAAACTCCTGTTATGTGCCAAACACTGTTCTAGGCACAAGGAACCAAAATATAAAAAAGACAACCTCTGTCCTCAAGGATCTTGCATTCTGCTAGAGGAAGACAACACCTAACTGTTGGGTCTCATCAGGGATGGTGAGTGGCACCATAGAAGTTTGCCTGCTTATCACGTGCCAAGCACTAAGCTAAATCTTGGGGATACAAACACAAAAGCAAAGGCAGTTCTTGCCCTCCAGGAACTTGTATATTCTTATGCCTGTGCAGCATTATTTTTCATTATTAATTGCCCAGAAGAAAGAATATCCATGAATGAGAATTAATTGGTGAGGTGGTTAGTAGCTTCGTTACTAATAGTAAGTTGCCAACAATGAATTAAAATTAAATTCAGCCCTTGTTACCAGTCCCAGGTATTCTGAAGTTGGAAGGAGAAGGAGATAGAGGAAGAAGAAAAAGAAAATGGAAGAGAAGGAGTATTTGTTGTACTGGTTGGTTGTTATTGTTTTGTTGGGGTAATGGTGATTATGGCTGTGATTATGATTATTGTAGTTATTTTCTCATGCAAAGGGACAGAAAGAGTAAGTGATGACTAGGGAGACAGGTGGGAGAGATAACAAGGTACAGTAGAAAGAGCAATGAACTCTCACAGTGGACTTGGGAGCTAGAGGCCCCCAGTTCAATGCCAGTTTTGCTACCTTAGTTCCCCTGGGCAAGTCACAAACCTCTCTGGTCCTCCATTTTCCTCATCTGCAAAATGAGGGGGTTGGAGTAAATGATCCCTGAGTTCCCTTCCAGCTTTAGACCTATGATCCAGTGATCTTCAATTTAAACTAATAAAGTTAATAAATCTTTGCCAGAAGGTGCTGTTTCATTTATGTTGTTTAGAAGTAAAAACATTGCTCCTAAAATACAGTTTCTGTGTTTTTTTCTGGGTTTTGTTTGTTTAACATAGCGTAATTGGGGAAAGGCCTAGTGAGTGTGGGGATAGCCAAACCTGAGTCATTTCCTATAATGTGCATTAAATGGCCACATTTTGTAGTACTTACTGGATACTTTACATACTACTGTATGTTACTCATAAGGCCTTGCACAGTGAAATGCTCTGGCCAGTAATGAGGATGACTAATTCATTAACCTTAATGCAGAAGCTGGATTCTTTTGAGAAACTTTGCTCAATAAACACAAATGAGTTTGCAGGGACATGTACAGCATGGGTGAGTTCGGGGTGTGTGTGCCTTCTCCTTCCACGAATGCTGTTTAATATTGTGAAACCTGTTTTGAGGAGAGGTATTCCAGCCTCCCCAGGCAATCGTTTCAATAAAGATTTAATCCAATCAGGCCT